AGCTGTCAGCACAGAGCCCGACGCGGGGCTCCAACTCACGAACTGCGAGATCATGACCTGAGCCGGAGTCGGATGCTCAACCAACTGAGCCACCCAGGCGCCCCAGTAATCATTTTCTTATTTTTATTTGCCAGTAATAATACCATTTTTTCTCTTACGAATCTGTCCTTTGCATCCAAATGAAGGGGTTATGGAATTATGACATCTTGGGGTAACTACATCTCTGACTTCTTCTCTTCAGATAGATACTCAAGAGTTAATTTTTCTTTTTTTCAAGACAAGCAGTATCTGATTGTTAGTACAATTATAACCTAGAGTGATTCCAACCCAAAACTCTCCGGCTACATCACATCCGAAACGGAGCGGCTGCGTTTTTGGAGATCATATGATGGCATTCTTGTATTTTCGAGAATTTGCTCTCCTACAGAGCAAAACCGAACCCCTAACATACTGAAATGAATGGTGCATGCCAGCCTACAGACCCAGGGCTGCTCCTCTGCCCAGATACACACATTTCCGCCCCCTCTCATATTCTCAGTCCTGATTCCAAATTCACACCCTACTAATTGTAAAAATCAACATCATGTGTAAAATAGAGCCTTGCTGTGGCTTACCTTGTCCATATCTATTAATGTGACAGGAATGTTTCTTCCAACTACCACCATCACTGTGCGCCCACAGTTATCAACACCTGCGAACGGGAAATGTGATCAGCGCCTAGAGACTTTATTCCAAGGCTGGACTCGGACACTGTAAAAACATTCTACACAAATATAAAAGACTGAAAACCAGGAACTTAACGTTTTTCAAATTTCATCCTCAGATTTCTTTCACTTTGTGGAAAACAATACATATATATATTTTAGCTTTATGAGGTTCTGATGACTGCACTTATTTTTAAGATAAAGGCTTCCTGCAGGTTTTAAATCAGGGATAGCCAAGGGTAAGGCTGCAGGGCCAAGGCCTTTTTATAAATAGGTTTTGTTCAAGTTTTAATAACATCAGTGATCCAGGAAAAACTAATGGGAACTCAATTCTGAAAATTAACAATTACTGCCTGAAAAAGGAATTTAATGGAGAAAGAGTGGAAATTTGAGAACTTTCCCCATCTCCGTTATATATTTAGACAAGGTTTGAATTTTGTATAGCAAGTGAATGGTATTTTTAAGAGCAGAAAAGATATTAAAAGGTAAGAAAAGAGACATTAAGAAGAAGTGGACCAACGTAGAACTACAAGATGAAAATTTTATAGGTTGAGATGTTATTTTTAAGATCTTGATGATGAGCCAAACTATCCTCATTAGTATAAAAAATTTTTTTTCATAGGCAAAATGGACAAAATCAGAGAAAAATGAAGTTTCTAGTAGCGTGCTAGGTGGGGTCCTTAAAAAGGAAAAGAAAAGCTACTTACGCTCACCTGTTTGGTATAAGGCTTTTAGAGAAGCAATATCAGATAGATCCTCAGATCTTGCTTGACACAACCAGCGATTATAACTAGAGAAATAAAGGATATAATTATTATAATAATCCCCTGTAAATTAAATTTACAAATGGAATCTGTTTCTTTCCCTAAAGAATGAGGTTTTATTATAATGTGCAAGAAGTTAAGGAGGGCATATTATGCAGAATCTCAACCAATGTTGAGAAAATGTTAAACCAATGTTTATTATATAATAAACAAAGATGAGTCACTGAGAAAATGTGTTCATACTACATGATTTAAAATAATCCTTTATGATCAAGTGAAGACTATTCATATAAATGACAAAGACAGCAAGTACTCAAATGAACACTGTTTTCAAATACTATTATTTTCCCTTACTAAACAACATGGCAGAGAAGGCCTAAAGCAATAGCAGTTATCCAAAACAGATGTACACTCACCCAACGATTTACCGAGTGCTTACAAAACGCTAGGTATTGAGAATGCTACAGTGAATAAACACTGTCAGTGCCCTCGAGTTTACTTTTCAGATGAAAAACAGGTAAGTGTTTTACATGTTACATGGGACCACAAAGGAACTAGGTAATTTTATGTGGGAAGTCCAGGTTTATTTTAATGATTGGCTAATCAAACCAGTTGCACTGAGAACCCACAGAGCAGATCCCAGGGATCTTGGCTTAGCTTGGCTTTAGCTAAAAGGACATGAAAGCTGGAAGAGACGTTAAAGATCTCAAAGCGGGGAAATGACTTGCAAGGTCGAGCTAGTCTTAGTCACCAATTATTGCTAGAGTTGAATTTGAAGTTTACTCATATCTCCAGAGTTCTGGAAAGGTCAGTACTTTTTCTACTATTTCATACTGTTTTGTTGTAATTCAAAGTGCCACTTATTTGCAAAAACAGCTTTCACAGCACTGAAATCATGAGAAGCAACTCTGAAGAATCTAGGTTACATAGGGCAACATCCCATAACATGAGGAAAACTAAACCAGGAGAGGGAGACTTGGGTTCTAATCCTATCGCTTTCTGTGCAACCTTAGTAAGTAAAGCTGCTTCACCTCTATGGACCTGTTTCCTCATCCATAAAGTGGCGTTTACAGAGGACACCTTTCAGCTATAATGTACACTCACACAACTAAGGGTATTTAATAGGAAACCTATTACATATGGATTGTAATCAACAAGTGATATGTCTGCTAGTATCACAGACATTGAACTGCCTGTGAAAAACATACTTGGTATCACAAGATTCTACAGTTTAAATCTGGAAACTTACCCACCTACGCAAATTGAAAAGTGAAAGACAAAATAGCTTTCAACTCTGGCTTAAGACATAACTTGCAACTCAAGAAAAGAACTATGTTTATGGTCGTTCTCCCTTATCCCTATGTACTGTTCCAAAATTTTAGAGTCATTTCCTTGGTTATTCACATGAAATCCGCAAAGGTACTGTTTTCTAACTGTCTTACGGTTAAGTCATCTCACTGCAAGACTGAACAGATCATAAGTGTCTCATGAGTTCCACAGGTCCGACCTGGCATAAAACATGTAACAGGAATTCAGTAAACGTCTGTTAATTTCTATACTCCATTCATGTATTCATTAGCTCACTTTTCAAAGGTGCAGGGCATACATGCAAATGTCTGCATCATAGTAGGGACTCTAAGCTTTGTTGAATGAAATAATAAACATAAGTATTATTCAAGATATTTGGGGGGGCACTGGAGAATGATAATAAAAGGCACTTGGTTTCAAAGATTTTAAAGCTGAATATATGAGATAGACACATATTACAAAGAATAAACTTTGTAACAGGATGGAACGAAACAAGCAGTCCAACAGACGTCTAAAATTCTATCAATCAAGTGTGCTCAGAGGAGGACTGGCGGGGGTGCGGATAGTGGGAGTGGAGTGGAGGCAAGATCCAGACATGCAGAATTAACTGTTCTCTTCTTTGAACCACAAAGATTAGTACAAGGCTTCACCCACTTACTGCCAGTGTTTGCTTCTACTCAGACCACATGACAGAGAATATGGCTTATTTGTCTCCATATTTCCAGCCAATCCCTAGGGTAGCTCCTGATACTGAGTAACGATGTGTTCAATGAACTCTGAAAAAAATCTTTTTCGAATTGGAATTCAGGTGAACAAAACAAAATTAATTAGCCTTGGTTCAAATCACTTTCATCACGGGTATACACATGGTTCTCTTTAAAAAACTGCTTATCTAATTACTTATGTTTAATGAAGTAATAAGTACTCCGAAACCTCCTGGCCAAAACAAAAGCACGCACTCTCACAATAATCTACATGTAATCACATGGTCACTTCCCTCCAATTCTGGCCCCTGCCTCCTCTCCTC